AAAGCTCAGAGGAGGCAGTGATTTGTCCCAGGCTGTGCAGCAAGTTTCTTCAGTCAACAAATATTTACTAAGCACCTACTTTATGCGAGGCACTATTCTAGAAACAGAACTGGGACTAGGACCCATTCATTTTTTAGGCATTCATCGACAAACATTTGCTGTGCTGGCTGCTGGGAGTGAATCAGACCTGGCCCCCGACCCTCAGAGTTCACACTCTAGAGAGTGAGACAGCCACACAGACAATGACAAGACAGTGAGACTAGGTAAGACCAGGTTGCCTTTGAGAAATCTGGGAAGGCTTCTCAGAGGAAGTGTTTATAAACTAAGATGCCAAGGAGAGTAAGAGTTGGCCACCAAAGGCTAAGGATTGTGTGGAGGGCTTTAGCCAAAGGGAACGGCATGTGCAAACGTGTAGATGAGGGAGAATATGGCTCATTTAAGATCTGAAGATGGGCAGGGTGTGGTGGCTCACGCCTGTAATACCAGCACTTTGGGAGGCTGAGACTAAGTTCTAGGAGGCAAAAGCACATCCAAGGCTCCGATTCCCTCCCCAGTCACTGACCCAGGAGAGCCCTGGAGCGCCTGGGGAGCCTTCTAGCCTCAGTTGCCACCTGCTCCACGTCTGTCACAGCTCGGAGAGGCAGTCCAGGTACCTCAGCCTGGCATTCAAGGCTGTATAGGATCTGGGGCCTGCCAGCTTCTCATTCTCTCTTCCATTATCTTGCTCAGCTATAGGAACCATCTTTAGATCTTTTTTTAAAAAATTAAATTAAAAAAAAATTTTTTTTTGAGGCCAGGCGCGGTGGCTCACGCCTATAATCCCAACATTTTGGGAGGCCAAGATGGGCGGATCACGAGGTCAGGAGTTCAAGACCACCCTGGCTAACATGGTGAAACCCCATCTCTACAAAAAATACAAAAATTAGCTGGGCGTGGTGGTGGATGCCTGTAGTCCCAGCTACAGTGGGGCTTTGGTGCCCACTTATTCTACTCTCCCTGAGCTCTTGGAGATGAACTGTCTGGGCTCCCAGCAGAAGCTGGCTCTCAGTCACGCAGCAGATCGCAGTCAAGGCTGGGCGGCAGTCAAGGCTGTCACTCCTGCAACTCCGTCTCCTACATCCTTAATTCTGTCCCCTCTACTGGATCTTTCCAATAATCTCACCGATATGCTGTATTTCTTCTATCATAAAAAACAGCACTACCGCATTCTCTCTCCTTCGCTTGAGTAAAACTCCTTTAAAGCATTGCCTCCACCTCTCTTGGACCAGCTCCAACCAGGCTTTGGCCCCTATTGCTCCACCCAGCCAGCTCTCATCAAGGCCACCAATGACTTCCTTGTTGCTAAACCTGGAGAATAGTCTGTTCTGAGTTCTCCCACGCTTGGCTCAGCAGCCTTTGTCACCATTAGCCACTCTCTCCTGGAAACGCTTCCTCCAGGCTTCGAGGACATACCTGGGTTGCCCTCCTATCCCTCCGACTACTCCTTCTAGGTCTCTTTGGCTGGGTGCCCCTCCTGTCCCTGACTTCTAGGAGTGTCCCGGAGCTCCTGATGTTAGGGCAGCACTCTGTCTTTTCAATCTACCCCCACTTCCTAGGTGATCTTGTCCAGGCTCATTAAATGCTGTCCATATGCTAATGATGCCAGTGCTGACCTTCCTCTTGTATTGCTGGCTTGTCATCCCTACTGCATTTTCAACATCAGCACTGAGATATCTAATTGGCATCACGAACCTTACAGGCTTACAACTTCATCCTTTTAGTCACTTTGGCTGAAATAATTGCTATCTCCCTTGTCTTCTTTCTTTCACGCCTGGATTTGCTAATCCACTAGCAAATCCTGTTGGTTGTCCCTACAAAATATGTCCTAAATCCTACCCCTTACCACCCCCTCCACTACAATCACCCTGCTTCACACCCACATCACCTCTTGCCTGGATTACCCAGTGGTCTCCTAACCCATTTCCCAGCCCCCATCCTTCACCCGCTTCAGTCTATTCTCAACCCACTAGCCAGAGGGATCCTTAAAAAACTTAAATCAGCTCACGTCACTTCACTGCTCCAAGCCCTCCACTGGCTCTCATCTCACTCAGCATAAAATCCAAAGTTCTCACAATGACCTACAGACCCTCGTGGTCTGGCCACTGCTACCTTCTCAATCTCTTCACCTCCACCCTCCTTCTCACTCTTCTCCCTCCAGCCACATTAGCCTCCTTGCTCTTCCTGCCTTGGAAACAGAGTGAGACTGGTGAGAGTGAGATGTGCTCCTGCCTCAGGGCCTTTGCACTTGCTGTTCCCAGGCCAGGAACACTCTTCCTCCAGATACCTACGTGGCTCACTCTCCTTCAGCCCTTGACTCTAATGCCGCCTTCTCGGTGCAGGCTGGTTCCTGGACCACCTGTCTAAAATCTGCATCCTGTCTCACCTTTCCCAGCCCCCTTCCTTATTTCTTTGTCAGTATCTAATTGCTCTGTATTTTTCTGAATTACTTTTGTCTACTTTCTCTCTCACACCCTAGGATGTAAGATGTGTGAGGGCAGGGATTTTTACCTGTTTTGCTCACTGTGGTGTCTCCAGCACCTAGAACAGTTCCTGGTGTGAACTGTTATATACCCCACTGTATAGAAGGAGCCTATGAAGTGTCCAGGCCTCAGTCATTTCATCTGGAGAATGGGTTTGCTAATGGAACCTACCTCATGGTTTGTTTTTTTTTCCCTTTTTTTTCCGAGATGGAGTCTTGCTCTGTTGCCCAGGCTGGAGTGCAGTGGCTCAATCTCAGCTCACTGCACCCTCTGCCTCCTGGATTCAAGCAATTCTCCTGCCTCAGCCTCTCGAGTAGCTGGGATTACAGGTGTGTGCCACCACACCCAGCTAATTTTTGTATTTTTAGTAGAGACAGGGTTTCACCATGTTGACCAGGCTGGTCTCAAACTCCTGACCTCATGATCCACCTACCTCAGCCTCCCAAAGTGCTGGGATTACAGGCGTGAGCCACCACGCCCGGCCATCTCATGGAGTTTTACGAAGGTTCACTGAGCTGAGTGATTGTGCAGGTGCCCAGGACAGGTCCCAGAACACACTAGGTGCTCCACAAGGCACTCTGCTCATGGACAAGATCAGGGAGGTAAACACAACTGCCCCATGCTGTGTTTAGGACAGAGGGCTGGGCTGCGCTGGGACCATGATAACCCACGCCTTACCTGGGTGGATGTCCTGGAACAAGGACTTCCAGATGGTGTACTGCAGGGGGCCTGTGTACTTGGAAGTCGGGAAGTCTTCATACGTGAGGTTGGTCTCATGGATTTTTCCCTTGAGCCTGGAAGGAGAGCAGGAAAGGAGGCTGCACCAGGGACTAGATTCCTGCCCCAATGCCAGGGTCCCTGCAGCCACCTTCAGGGCAGCTGGCATAGGACGTGATCATGAGTCAGAAGTCTGTGGGACTCAGATTCAAGTGCCTGCTTGTGCTGCTTCTGGCCTCTCTAACCATTCCCTCAGTCTTCTCATCTTTAAAATGGGTGCTATGCTAGCATCAGCCTTCTAGGCTTTTTGTGAGAATTACGTGGCATAACATATACAGATGCTCAGCACAGTGCTTGGCTCATGATCAACGCCAAATTCATGATCTTAGCAATCAGCGTTGATCACTGACAAACCAATGACTAAGTGTTACTACTACTAAGGGAAGCTTTAGGGTCACAGAGACCTAGGCTTGAATCCTGGGTTCAAGAAATTCTCCTGCCTCAGCCTCCTGAGTAGCTGGGACTACAGGCGCCCGCCACCACACCCGGCTAATTTTTGTATTTTTTTTTAGTAGAGACGGGGTTTCACCATGTTGGTCAGGCTGGTCCTGAACTCCTGATCCACCCACCTCGGCCTCCCAAAGTGCTGGGATTACAGGCATGAGCCACCGCACCCAGCAGGAGCCTCAGTTTCTACATGCATGAAATGATGATGACAGTGGTAACTACTTTCAAAGGGACTGAGAGGGTTACAGTATATAAAGCCTTTATATAATATCATGTAATGCCAACATTATCATAAATAAAATAATATCTAATATATTTA